TTTTTTTTATTTCGTAGATCACATTTTAGGGTTACTTATCGCTTATAATGAATGCCCGTCATTACATCTATATTGAGAACCAGTTCTTTGTTTCTATGATCGGTGGGGATGATGTGCATAATGAAATTTGTAAAGTGTTATGTGAGCGCATTATAAAGGCATATAAGTAAGTTTCTGTATTTTTTAAATTAAAGATACGGTTTCTGAGTCTTTAAGGTCTTGCTTCATGACGTTTCCATAATGATTGAAGAAAAGATTTTGTTTGTACTGATTGGATTGTGTCTAATTGTTACCGCATTTTTCAGGAACCAGGAAAAGTTTAAAGTATATATCTTGCTGCCTCTTCTTCCTGGCTTTGAAGGAGACGTTGGAGCTCCAGGTGGTTCTGCTTTGCAAGCAGTTTTACACTGGACGTTTCTTTCTTTGTGTCGTGGCCCAAATTCCTTACTAGGAAATTTGCGAAAAGTGATACCTGAACCTATGGACTACATACATGTGGCTTCCTTGAGGACATATGACTTACTCTGTGGTAAATTGGTAAGCATGTTTTGTATATAGTCTGCGTGAATGTGCAAAGAACTGCATCAGTATTTTATTTTTCATCTACTTAAGGTATCGGAGCTTATTTATATTCACTGTAAGCTAATGATTGTGGATGACAATGCTGTTATAATTGGTTCGGCAAACATTAATGATCGCTCACAAACTGGTAACCGTGACTCAGAGGTTAACTTCCAACTATTGGTTAAAATTCTATTACTGCATACAGTATAATCTCGTTGTAGTTGACAGTTGGTTGGGATTTCATTTTATATGCCTGTCTAAAGGTAATTTAAGGTTTGTATTATGGTGAGAGACTGTGAATTCGTGGAGTCAAAAATGGATGGTAAACCTTACCAAGCCGGAAAGTTTGCTAGCAATCTACGCAAACATTTAATGATGGTATTTTTTATCTTTTGAGGTTCTTTTTTTTAAGACCTGCTACTTCATCTTCAGGGTTTCTAGATGATAGAGTGTCTTCAAAATTAGTATATTTCTAAGAAGCAGGTTTTTTGACGCATTAAAGAGGAAGTAACGCCGCATAAGTTTTATTCATTGTTTTAATAAGGCTTAGAAATGAGTTGATTTTTTAACTGCGTTTGGTAGGGACAATAATGTATAAGATCTTAAAAGACGGGGTTCTCCACAGTGTTATGGAATATCTTTAATCACAATTATTTTTAGGAACACCTTTGTATGTTACCAGAACAACCGAGGAGGAACACTTTAACTGACCCTCCAAAAATTGACTTTGAAGATCCTATAATTGACTCATTTTTTTTCGACACGTGGGGTGCAATAGCTAAAAAGAATACTAAAATTTATGAAGAAGTAAGTTTTTTGTTTATATATTTAATTTTGACAGGTTGTCAGTGTTTTTTGTCATGGAGTCCTTTTGTCTTTTGTTTTTTAGGTATTTCATGTTTACCCAACTGACCTTGCTGAAACTTTCGAAGATCTAAAAGCATTCACAACAAAACTTTCAATGGCGGAGGCAACACCTCAGTTGGCTGAAGAGAAGCTTAGGGGCCTGGTCGGCAATCTGGTTGAATTTCCTATGAAGTTCTTGCGTAAAGTGAACTTGGCACCAAGTATTGCTTCGAAGGAGGGCCTTGTGCCGACGTCCGTTTTCACTTGATATCAGTAATATGCTCTTCATATTTGTATAAATTATTTCTGATATAATTTTAAGCTGTATTTAACTAGGTTAGATCGAAAAGTTTCATAATGTTGTTCACTTAAAGTGCTGTTAAGAAGCTTCCTGTGTTATTTTTATGTTAAGTAACTTGAATGGTTGTAGCATATAATATTTTAGTTCAATATTATTTAATCCGCGCATAATATCTAAGTTTAAGCTGTTACTGTGTTTGTATCTGCTGATTAAGCCAGGGCTAGGAAATTAAGAGGATTAAGAAAATGATGAAGTTTGCGAGCACTTTTTTCAATAGTCTCTAAATTTATTTTTCCGTTCTTATTTTGACGACCTGTATTCGTTTGCTTGCGTTTTAGGCTCTTATGCACATCTTTTGTGTTACAGTTAATGTTTTTAACTTTCTAATTTTTATATGTTCTCATTTTTGCTTTTTTTGAAATTTTTTTTTGAATTACTTTGCCAGGACTTTTTGACTTCTCCTCCAGTGAGTGATATATTGATTTAAATTGTATTTCTTCCCAATTTCGTTGTGATACATATGCTTCGTACTCGTTTGTGTTACGGGGTACTGTTGGTTCTTTTTTAGTTTCTGCGAATGAGTTACCAACAAGTGCCAAATGTTTGGTGGAATATTTTTTGATTCTGTAGTGAAGGACGATTAAAGAACGATCTGTTTGATAAAACATTGAATTTGGTTTCGTTATACAACGGTGGTTGAGTAAGTTTTTCTTGTTTCATTGTAAGTTCATCTGTGTTTATGGACGAGTTGGATGGATATCACTGCAATTTGACGGAACTTGTGAGATATTTGGGATTTTCGGATGTGACGATAACGGTACGAATATACCAAAGTTATATTGATTACGGAAGAGCTTGAAAGAACAGTTGTCTGAACAGTCTTCAAAAATCACAAGTTAGCAGCTGGGGCAAATGCGACTTCTAGCTAGGCTTAATCTTTTGCAGCTTATTACTGAACAACTGTAAACTACTCCCATATACTGTTGAAATACCTGTAAGATTTTAAACGATGTTTCATTTCCCATCCTTAAGCTTGTGACTTTTCATACCAAAGGCTAGTTTCTGTAGCCGACTGAATTTTATGGAGAAAAAAGAATTTGCGTTTTCCTTCTCTTCGTCAGTCTCACATAGCGTGAAAGTTTCGATTCTGTCTACGGAGTTACCAGTTTCTTCGTTTGCAAGTTTCCTTACCTGACACAGGATCTAAAATAACAATTGGCATAAACTCCAGCTTTTTTTTTTTGAGGGGCTGCAGAGGTTTTAAATCTTATTGGGACTACTTTTATACAGTCACAGGATAAAAGATTTATACTTTTTTTTTTTCTTTTAAAAGTTTGAAATTGCTCCAAGTCCTGTCCGTTTAACAGCTGAATTTGAGGAAGACAGTTCTTTATGTTAAAAAAGGCCGTAGACCACTGTGATGATCATCTCTTGAATTAGTGGGGGTTGCTCCGACAATGAAAATTTTAGAAAGTAAAACATTTTTGGAGGAGATCATAGAATTTAGAAGAAGGAACTAATTAAAAATAGCACATTAAAGTAAGATAATTATTACAGGACAAGGCTCTGCAGTAGTTGTTCTACTTCTATGTACCACGCTTATTTGGTCAGGTTGCTTTTTTGACTTTCTCACTATTTTACACCAAAAATGTGTTGTTGTCAAATATGTTTTGTGAGAAGTTTTGAACACTTTGAAATAATCACTGGATATCAGAAATTTGTGAACGAAGAGTCAGTTTTGTCCGGAAGGCAGTTTTGGCCTTTTCACTTTTGACGCCTCGCTGAGGTACTTTTTTTACTGCTTAAATTTTTTTAATGCTTATTTATCTTCTCACATCTGCTGAAGTAAAATCTTCAT